TTAATTATGTCTTCTACATCATCTACCATCATCATCATCATCATCTCCAGCAGCATGAGCTAAACCTTTCTTGGGGTTTTACAAGCCTATTAGGTAAGTAAAAGAATTTTTCATATGCGTTTCATTTTCCCATGGAAGGTAATTATTTTAGAATTGGCCATTTTCGATAGTTTTTTCTCTTTGTTCTTAATAATAAATAAAAGGAGAGATCTTTTTACATGTGTAGACACTTTTATCCTCATTTGCATTCGTTAATTTTTTTTGGCATCAAGAGAGAAAATAGGTTACTTATATATCATTATTTTAAAGGTGTGAAATTTTACTTGTTATCGACGGTATCGAGATGAGAGGTTGAGGGTCATTATTTTATATCTTGAGGCCCTTAGGAATTGTTAGAAAATTCTCTGCAAGGACTTTAGTAGTTCTTAAGGTGAGTAAGTTTCGGCATCGAGATGAGGGTTTCTTAGATGAGGTAACAACTCTTTGACTAGGTTCCATTACCTTATTGTCAATTTGTCTTCTATTTCTAAGAATAGTAATAAACTGATCCTCTTCTTTAGTCAACCTAGAACTCTCACTAACTTCATGTTGACCCTTGGGATTTTGGATAGGTTGACTAGGAAATTTACGAGGTTCCCTCTTACTTAAAGAATTAGCAATCTGACCTACAACTATCTCAAGTTTGTTAATAGTATGAGATTGTTGTTGAGAAGTAGACTTAAGCTCGTTTATGGTTTGAGGTTGTTGCGCACAGATGTTACCAGTTTGTTGCATAAAAAGCTTAAGTGAATCTTCTAGACTAGGTGTAACCTGAGGAGTAACCTGGTTAAATTGTTGTCTAGTATTAGGAGGATGGAATGGTTGAGATGGAGGGGTCACAATGTGAACTCCTTGATGGGGACTTTGGTTATACGAAAAATTAGGATGCCTAGCCCATCCTGGGTTGTATGTATTTGAATAAGGATAATTAAAAGGTTTCCTAACTTGATTAAAAGCATTAATTTGTTCGATGAAATAGTTGGGAAACTCAGTTTGAGGACATGCTTGAGATGTGTATGAAGAGTTAGTATAACCAGCAAAGACTTCAAAAGGTGCATTAACAGGTTGACTAGCTGAGAAGAGGGCATCTATCTTACGAGTTAGACTTTCAACCGTATTTTCTTTAGATGATGAAGAGGGTGGTTTACATAAGAACGATGGATCTTTCAAAAAAAATCCATATCTCTTCGACACTGTTCTCCATAAGGGAACTTCCACTGTAGAGTCAATTATAATACGGTGTTGTGGTGTCAACCCATCGCGGAAATATTATATTTGACTCTATTTTGGAATTTCTTGATGAGGACACTTAATTTCACGAGATCGTTAAACCTCTCCCAGCACTCAAAAAAAATGTTTACCTTCTTTTTGTTGGAAGTTGGTAATCTCCCTTCAAAGAACGTTGGTTTTATGAATTGGGAAGTACTTAGATAAGAATTTAGTGTATAAAGTTTCCTAAGACGTAATGGTTCTAGTCTTTACAGAAATTAACAAGGATTTCGCTCTATCTATTAGAGAGAAAGGGAATAACCTAAGACGGACAGAGTCATCAGAAAAGTTTGGACACTTGAGAGTCGCACAATTGTCAAGAAATTCTTTGACATGGAGATAAGGATCCTCTTTATCTAATCCATTAAAGGATGGTAGAAGATGAATGATAGAAGGTTTTACTTCAAAGCTAGTTGCATTAGTTTGAGGTAAGACAATGCAAGACAGAGTATTACTAGCTATAGGTGAGAAGTAATCCTTGAAAAGTTTTTCGTCAGCCATCTCGTGAAAGATTGATTTTTTACCTACAAATGTTGACTCTAATAACTCGCTATATTCTATGCTTACTAAACGACCTGTAGAATCACGTTCCCAACAAACCATAAACTAGCAAACACAAACAGAAATTAAAATAATGCAATCCAAGCAGTATTGACTCACTAATTGATGTGATGAATTCAAGTTGTTTAATTTACTGTGGGGCTTCACAGAATTCTTAGTCTTTATGCCCAAAAAGATAAAAATAGCTCCTACTCTTTAGAAACACACCTCAGTTCTTGCACCCTTGCAGGCACCGTCACACCCCCAATATGTGTTTCTATTAAATTTACACACCTCAGTTCTTGTACCTTTTCAAATATCGTCACCACCCCCGGTGTATAAAACTAAAGAGTTTTCCTATTGAGCGGGACAATCCCGTCTGGCAATATATATCCTATGGGTTGGTCGAGTGAAGTTCAAAACTCAAAATAAATAAA